TTATTATTTTTTTTTTGGCGGAACTGGGGATTGAACTCAGGCCCCTGCGCTTGCCAGGGAAGCGCTTATTCCACTGAGCCATCTCCCTGGCCCCCATTTATTTGACTGACAGGTCATAATACTGTCTGGCACCTGAACCAGAGATTGGGCAGGAGAGAAATGAAGCCAAGTGTGGTGATGCTTACCCATCATCCTAGAGCTCTGGAAGGCTGAGGCAAGAGGATCCCAAGTTTAAGTCCAGTAACTTAGAATTTCAGAGAGACCCCAACTCAAAAAGTAAAAATTTTAAAAAAGGACAGGGGCTGGTTGTAGTGGTACACAGCTGTAATACCAGTACTTGGGAGGCAGGAGAAATGGCCCAAGTTTGAGGCTATCCTGGGATACAGTCAGTTCAAGCCTAGCCTCAACCACAAAGCAAGACACTTAAAAACAAAAACACATGGGATGAGCTAGATGTGGAGGCTGGGAGGGCCCCCAAGCTACAGTGACTCCTAATCTGCCATGGTTCCATCTGGTCCCTTCTTCCCCACACCCCTCTATCTGGGGTTCTGGCAGCTGACCCCTGGTAAGAACGAGACCCCACCCACAGATCCAACAACCTGATCACTCCAACACCCAACCCCCCCCCCCAGCCAGACTGTAGGCCAAGAAACCTGGACCAGTGTGTCCAAGCATGTGGCTTGAATCCAGCTGCTCTGCCTCCCAGGCCTGCCTGGATGTGCTGCCTGGGAAAGGCCCTGCTTTATGCTAGGCGAGCAGCACCAGCAGGCAGGCCTTGGGCTTGTCCACTCTCCTGCTTCTGGGCTGACTGGACCACGTTAGGAGAGAAGCAGCTGGGAACTCCAGGGAAGCATCCAGTACCTCCTGCAGAAAGCTGGAAACAGGTACACACCACAACCAGCTCAAAGCCCTTTCACATTTGGGGCTCTCTTAAGCCTGCCAAGGTCCTGGGGTTATCACTGCCCCATTTTCCAGATGCAGAAAAAGATGAAGCACCAAACCCAAGATCAGAGATAGCCCGTGGCAGTGGGAGAGGCCAGAGCATGCGCTAGTCCATTCCCTGAGCATCTTTGTGCCAGGCACAGGCCAGGCACTCTAAATGCAAGATCTTCCCCAAGCAAATAGTCAGGCGGAGGTGGGAGGCAACATATAAGTAAATCAATCAATACAGCAACGTCGGGGCTGGGAAGATGGCTCAGTGGAATAAGCGCTTCACCGGCAAGTGCAAGGGCCTGAGTTCAATTCCAGGTTCCACACACACACACAAAAAAAAAAAAATACAGCAATGTCCAGATATTGGTAAGTGCAAGTGCTATGAAAAAGTACAACAGTATAACTAGAAGTTTGGGGATATTTTTAATGTCTTTGGTTGTTACAGGGTCTCACTATGCAGCTCAGACTTGTAGTGATCCTCTTTTGTTTCAGCCATGCCAACACTGGGATTACAGGCATGTACCAGCACACCAGGACTGGGTGGCTGGCTGTGAGCCTGGGGGCAAGGGAACAGCACAGCACGTGCTACCAGGGATCAAACTCCAGTCCCTGTGCTTGCCTAAGCAGGCACTTAGTCCGCTGAGCTATCTCTCTAGCCTCAAGTTTGGGGTTTCTTAGAAAACATACATCTGTCACATGATCTGCTCTTCCACTGGTAGATTTTACTCAAGTAGATATTCAATCACTATATGCTAAATGAATCTCTACTTCTTTTTGCCCCAGAACCATAGCCCCAAGCAGCTGAGCCTAAGAAACTGGTGAGATTTTTATTAAATCCACAGAAGTAAAAACCATTTCGTGAGGGAATATGGGATAGGGCAACCAGGGAGTGGGAGTCAGGCTACCAGGGAGTTAGGGACAGGGTGACAGGATACAGAGCAGAGCCAGGCCAGGGTGGCCATAAGAGCCCCAGCCTCAGGGACCATCACCAGGACCACCAGACAGCTCCTGGGAACTTGGACCAGCGCTGGGCAGACTCAGTGGTGGCGGCTCCACCAGCACAGCGGAGAACTTGGTGTCACCGAAGGCCTCATTCATGCGGGACTCGAAGAAGCGCTGCAGACCGATGATAGACTGCACATCCGCCTTGTCCTCGGTCAGTTTGTTAAACTGCTTGAACATGCGGCCTACATCCTCAGCAAACTCCTGGGGGGAGCGGTAAGGGGGTGACAGCTTTTCTTGGAGGCGGGCGCGGATCAGCGTCAGGTCCAGGGTACCCCCTGGCTGCTCCATGGAGAGGGGAGCGTCGGTAGCCAGCTGGTGCAGGGGGCGGCAGGGTTCATGGCAGAAGAGGGCCAGCAGGACACGTTCACATTTCTGCTGGTTGACTGGCGAGAGCTTGACCACCATGCCGGCACTGTCTGTGCCATCCATGCTAAGAGTGCCATCCTCCTCCTTCAGGTCAGGGGGCACTTGGCAGAGTGAGCAGCTCCACTCTTCCCCTGGCACATCCTGCAGAGCAGGCAGGTGGCAGTCCAGGTGGAAGCAAAACTCGCACTGGTTGCACATGACCAGGTCACCTGGCTTTTGGCAGACACGGCAAATGGTGGCACTGTCATCCAAGGTGCCTGGGTCACCAACTGGCGCTGAGGAACCCTCAGGAGCCACCACCTCCAGGCCTGAGCTAGTGCTGCCACTAGGTGAGGCCAGGCGGGGGCCCTCAGTGGCAGGGCCCTCAGCCAGAGCCATGAGCACAGGTTTGGTCTCAGGGCCCTCTACAGCAGCTGCAGGAGGGGCTTCAATGGCTGCCTCCGTCTCCTCCTCCTTAACAACGGCCATGCTGGCAAGAGGTGGAGCACCGGGTGCTCCTGGGAGTGCAGTCCCTGGCTGACCAGCAGCCGCGGCAGCAGCACCACGCTCAATCACAATGAGGTTGTAGTCCTCGGTGGTGCTGCCTGGAAAGACCTTGAAGACTGGTGGCTGGCTGTCGGCTGTAAGGTCCAGGTCCAGGCGTTCAAGGCTCACCCGTGGCACCTTGCGCATGCGGCCACTCACCTCACCCTCACCAGAGGAGGAACGCTTCATGCCAGACACATGGGGCTCTGCACTGGAGTAGGGGTCATCTGACTCGAAACCATAGCCTTCCTGGACCTCCATGGGCTGGCTGCTGCTACAGCTCTGCTTGCTCAGGGGTCCCAAGGCTCTTGGGGGGGCCATGAGTGCAGGGCCAGTGGAGTTGGTACCAGGCCGCTCAGCCACAATCTTGCCGAAGGCCTCAGCACTCTTGGTCCAGGCACTGAGGTCCCACTGGAACTTCATCTCCCCGTGGGGCTCCACGGGCTCTACGATCATCTTCAGGGCTCGCTGCAGCTGGAAGTAGATGAGCTTCTTAGACAGCAGCAGGGCCGTGTTGTTGTCACTCTCCAGCGCCCAGGAGGCAAAGCGCAAGATGTGCTCCTGATGCTTCTGGATCTTGGTCATGGACCAGTGCTGCCGTTCCAGGCGTTCTTGCTGGCCCTCTGTCAACTTCTGGGCATCACTGACCAGCACGCGGCCCCGCTTGTTCAGTTCCTTCATGATCTGCAAGATGGCCATCTTGACATCCACCTGCACCCGTTTCTGCACATCGGACACCTGGCGGATGGAGCTTCGCACCTCCTTGGTGCTCTTCTGCAGTGTGGCATGTTTGTCCCCAAGGCGTTTCACCAGTGCGGCCAGGAGCTTTCGCTGGTTCCTCACGGCATCTTCCAGGAACTGGTACTGGTGGTCCTTGTGGGCGCTGAGCTGGCAGTCCCGACAGGTAAGGGTGTCGCAGCTCTCGCAGAACAGCACGAGAGGCTCCCGCTTGTGCACGTTGCAGTAGACCGTGCGCTCCCCATCCCGGGACTTGGCCGGCCCGGTGGGGCGCACTGTGTGGTCCTTGGTGTACTTCACCCGCTGATGAGCGTCCACGCAGGTCTCGCACAGTGGCTCGGAGCACTCGACGCAGTAGCTGGTGGCTGGGGCGTTATCTTCGCAACTAGTGCAGCACTGGTTCGCCTCCTGGGCGTCTGAGGCAGCCTTGTTGCCACTGTCGCGGACGAAGTAGTTCTCCACGATGTCTTTGAAGCAGCACTGCTGCTTGCACACAGGGCAGTCCACCACCGCGCCGTCGCCGGCCGCGCCGCCGTCCCCCGAGCTGTTGGCCGCGGCGGACGCGAGGCAGCCGCTGCAGGCCGAGTGCAGGCAAGGCAGCAGGCGCGGCTCGCGCTCCGGACGCAGGCGCTCCCGGCACGCCCCGCAGCGTTCCAGCAGCTCCAGCGCCTCGCCGCCGCCCGCCGCGGGCGACGAGGCTGAGGCCGCGGCCGAGGAAGCGGCCGCGCGATTCTCGCCGCCGGCTGAGACCTCACCGGAGCCCGCGTTGCCGGAGGTGGCAGAGGCCGCCGCCGCCATAGATGCCGCCATTTTCACGCCGACGACGGCGCCCAGAAAGGAGGAGGGGCGAGGAGCCGGCCGCGCAGGCGCAGGAGCGCGCGCCTCGCCGAGCCCCGTGGGGGGGAGGGGTGCGGGGCCCGCGGCGCAGGCGCAGGC